CACTTGGACTCATTTTTAAGGAAGAGTCTCCATTTTCTAGGAGTCTCTAAAAGTGGGAATATGTTTTCACCTTTTTTTGAGGGGGGGGGTTGTGTTGACCAGTTTGGTCGTATTTGTTCATTTAAAAGTTAAGGATACTTTGAAATTACTCAACGAATGTACAACAGCTTTGAACATGGAACAAGTTTATGAGGGTCAGACACGTTACAACTATTTTTGTATGCCAAATATTTGCTTTTTTATTTTTTATTATATCCTGAATGGCAAATAACTCTTTTGTTAAGGTTGTATCCTGGAACATTAATGGATGTGGAAACCCAGTAAAACGGAAAAAGGTACTTTCATATCTCAAACTGCAACAAACAGACATAGCATTTATTCAAGAAACTCACTTAAAAGATGATGAGGCCAGAAAGTTTAAAAGAGATTGGGTGGGGCAAGTTTTCTTTAGCTCCTTTTCTACCAAGAAAAATGGTGTTCTTATTCTGGTACACAAAAGGCTAAATTTCTCACTAGTCAGGGAATATGCAGATAGTAATGGTAGAATTATTTGTATTGACACTATCATAAATGGCATGAAAGTAACACTTTGTAATATTTATGCCCCCAACAAAGAAGAGCCAGCTTTTTTCCATGAGGTTAATAACATTTTGGGGAATGCACATGGACAGGTAGTGTTGGCTGGAGACTTTAACCAGGTTCTGGACGGTGCTTTAGATAAGAGTAGATTTTCAGGAACGGCAGTGCCTAAGGATAGAGCAGCTATCCAGGTGTTAATGAAAGATAATGGTTTAATTGATATATGGCGTATGGTTAATCCAAGTAAGAGGGAATATTCGTTTTACTCCCATTGCCACAAATCCTACTCGCGGATAGATTTTATATTGATGTCTAATGGGCTAATCAATGATGTCATCGACGGCAAAATTAATGCCATTTCTTTGTCGGATCATGCGCCCGTTGAACTCTGTGTTAAAATACATCCAGAAAAACTCAAACGAGGTAGATGGAGGATGAATACCTCCATCCTTCAAAATGACATTTTTCAGAAGGAACTGGCAATAGATTTGTCATCATTTTTTGAGATAAACATGGGTAGTACGGACAGTGTTGCTATGGTGTGGGAGGCGTCGAAGGCATACATCAGAGGCAAAATTATAGCGCATACCTCTAGAATAAAAAAAGAACACACCAATACAGTCAAAAAATTGGAGGCAGAATTAATCATAATGGAAAGAAAACTGGCAGAACAATATTCTGATAGGCTGTTAAATGATATTTGTAAATGTAAATCTCAAATACAGGAAATATTCAATAGAAAGGCAGAATATGCTCTGTTTAGACTAAAAACAACATTCTATGAGGCGGGAGAGAAGACAGGGAAGCTCCTGGCAAGACAGCTAAAAGAGGTCAATTCTGCACATGCAATCCCTGCCATACGGAAAGATGGGGCACTTGTAACATCTCCCACAGAAATTAATGAGGTCTTTAAAACTTTCTATGAGAAGCTATATTGTTCAGAAGGTGAGCCAAGTAATCTATCACTACAGAACTTTTTCCACAAAATAACTCTCCCAAGGTTGTCAGCCGAACAGGCATGTAATCTGGATAAACCAGTGTCCCAGGAAGAGGTGAAGAAGGCCATCCAATCTATGAAAGTAGGGAAGTCACCTGGAACCGACGGATTCCCTGTGGAATATTATAAACAGTACATGGATATCCTCACACCAGTCTTGACCAAAGTGTATGACGAGGCCTTGCATACTGGTTCCCTCCCACCATCTCTGAATGAAGCACTTATTTCCCTAATTCCAAAGAAAGACAGAGATCATACAGACCCTGCCAACTTTAGACCTATTAGTCTAATTAATGTTGATAGCAAAATACTTGCCAAGGTGCTTGCCCTGAGACTAGAAACAGTATTGCCAGACCTAATACATCATGACCAGGTGGGTTTCTTACAAGGTAGATCTTCTACTGACAACCTAAGAAGACTGATGCACATCGTGTGGTTGAACTCCTCCAGCACTGCGCCAGTGGCAGCCATGTCATTAGACACGGAAAAGGCGTATGACAGGGTATCGCTGGAGTTCCTTTACTCAGCCCTGTCAGAGTTTGGGTTTGGAACCGGTTTCATGAAATGGGTTAAAGTATTGTACAGTGATCCAAAAGCGGCGGTTATGACTAATGGCGTGACCTCACAATTTTTTAAACTCTCCAGAGGAACACGTCAGGGGTGCCCTCTTTCACCATTGTTGTTTACAATTTTCTTGGAACCTCTGGCAATAGCCATTAGAGCAAACCCCGCCATTAAAGGAGTACATGGAGGTGGAAGTGAGCATAAATTAATGTTATATGCTGATGACATTCTATTTCTGACTTGTGAGCCGCAAAACTCCCTACCTGCCCTAATGCAAACTATCAGTGACTATTCCCAGATCTCAGGTTACAAAATCAATTGGACCAAGTCTGAAGCAATGCCAATATCCAAACATTGTCACCCACAAATAATTGCACAGTACAATTTTAGGTGGATTCCAAAAGGTATGGTATACCTGGGCATTAAGTTGTGCCCAGACCTTGGTGAGATTGTTGCGTTGAACTATGATAAGCTACTTCAAAAAATCAAGACAAACATAGGTAAATGGGGAAAGCTAAACCTTACCCTATGTGGTAAAATAAATGTTGTTAAAATGGTGATCGCCCCCCAGTTCAACTACATATCCATGATGCTCCCTCTTAGTATACCTGAAAATATATTTAAACAATATGACAATCTCATCAAGGAATTCCTTTGGGCGGGGAGAAAGCCCAGGTTTAAACTGGATAAGCTCTATGCACCCAAGGATAAAGGCGGGCTGAGTTTACCTAATGTTAGATTGTACAACGTGTCTTTTGAAATGTCCAAGATAGCTAAACACTGGAGTGGAGATGCGTCCGAATTAAATTGGGTCAATATAGAACAGACTCTTGCCACACCATTTCACCACAAACAGTTGTTATCCCAACAGGTAACTGGCATAGTGGAGGACAAAAATCCAGTCGTCCAACACTCTAAAGAAGTGTGGGCAAAGATCCACAAGCTACACAAACTCTCACATTACAAACAGCAGTATTCCTCATTGTGGCTCAATCCCGAAATTAAAATAGGTAAACGCACTGTGTTTTGGAGAAAGTGGGTAGAAAATGGAATCCACACTATTGGTGACCTTTTCAGTGAAGGTATTATTAAATCATTTGCTCAACTTGTACAGGAGTATAATCTGCAAGAAAAGGGTGACTTCTGGAAGTACTTGCAGATTAGACACTGTATATTGAAAATAAATCTAACAACAAAAGAAGACAATGTAATTTTGCAGCTTCTGCAATTGCCACTTAAGCATGGGGCTTCTGTGTTTTACAATAAAACGGTTTGTTTGACCAGTAGCTCATGTGAAAACTTAAGATTGATCTGGCAAAGAGACCTTGAATGCAATATAGACAAAGACACATGGGAACAAATATTGGCCGATAATGGTAAATATATCAAAGAAGTACGGTGTAAATTTATTCAGTATAAAATTCTACATAGGTTCTACTGGACTCCATGCAGACTTTTTACAATAGGACTAATAAATAGTAATATATGCTGGAAGTGTAAAAAAGAAACAGGAACTTTTCTACACCTTATATGGGAATGTACCTTGGTTAAACCATTCTGGGACAAGATAATTAAATTCCTAGGGACATGGATGGACATAACTCTCCCACTGTGTCCGCGTCTATGTCTTCTTGGAGACAAAACAGAAATACCACAGCTCACAAAAGAGGTACACTCAGTGTTGATGGTTGGGCTAACCTCAGCTGCAAGAATTATATTGAGACACTGGAAGGCACCCGAACACCCCACATTCCAGGAATGGAAAGTGGTAATGGCTGAAACGGTTTCATATGAGGTTATGCTAACTAGACTGAGAGGCAAAGGACAGGTGGTGTTAAATAATTGGTATTTCTTTCAAGTCTACCTGACCTCTCAGTAGCGACCCTTTTTTATTTGATCTTTTTCACCTACTTATTCTTTAATTATTATTATTATTATTTGTTTTTTGTTTTTCCTTCATCATCCAGGAACACCGTCTATTTTTGCTTTTATCCTTATAGTTATGTTAATTGTCTGACCATGTGTTTTAAGCTGTTACTTTTTGTACACTATACCATGCAAGCTTTGTATCGTAGTTATTTGATTGTTTAAAGGAAAATAAAAAAAACTTGAATAACAAAAAAAAAAAAAAAAAAAAGAAAAAAAAAAAATTCAAACCAAAAAAAAAGTAATTCTGTTTTTTTTAAAATTCTTGGATCAGGCTTTAAAGGGTAAAATGATAATTGGGCTAAAATTGGACAGTAATTGATGAGTATTCGGGCTGTTCTCGGCCCCTCGGCGGGTCAGGGAGCCGCGGGTTGAGCCTCATCACAGCAAACCGACTGTAAGCGGCCTATCGGATTAGATCAGAATCGTCTGTGTGACTCCTTTGGAGGATTCATCCGTTTGGACACGCAGGTCATCCGTGACACCGCTAAGCCCCATTCAGGGTGTTTTCTGGGGGGTTCTGTGTATTTCTGTTGTTTTTATGTGCAATTCTGTGTATTTCTGGTGTATTTCTTGTATATTTAGGGAGTATTGTAAATTTTTTGGTGTATTTATGCATATTCGTGGTGTTTTTTTGTTGTATGTCTGGTGTATTTCTGTATATTTCTGGTGTAATTCTACATATTTTTGGTGTTTTTTGTG